GTATATTTAACGAACTGGAAGGATGTTTAGCGAGACGATGTCGAGACATTAAGGCAAATCGGATGAGTACATGAGTATGAGTATTGTTGGAGTCTGCGATCGGGTTAGTATACCACCCAGTTAACAGTATTAATTGCAAGTTTTTACCAGATAACATATATATTACTTTTGCAAATGTACATATACTGTGATAAAATATCACCTTTATTCTAAATTATGAAAACGAGAATTCACATTTGAGTTAATGACCTTTTAAGTGTATCAACTTCGTCCTAAACATTAATTTTTATAAACGACGTAGTATAAACGTAACGAGGTATTTATAAACGATTTATAATTATAACATATAAATAAAGTTGTTATGAAATGGTTATGTTATAATTCATTGGCAGGGACTGCGTTAATAATTATTAGTGTCGGGGGAGAGGGGTAAATTGTAGAAATGCTGTCTACAAATAATGTGTAAATAACCAAAAAAAAAAAAGGTCATCAACTTTTTTCCAATTTTGCCGACTACATTCCACATAATTTCTCTGCCGAATGACCAAATTATTCACGGTTTTATAATATCCAGTTTTTTAGTTCCATTAAAACTAATATGTGGCACTATAACAGTGTGACCATATTTAAATAATTTCTTTATCTCAAAAATTACCACAAATGTTGTAATTTTAGGCAATTGTAGGGATTAATAGTGAAGGCGCCTTGTGTAGGAACGGCTTAAATATGAAATAAATCTATAAAGAAGGAAGGGTAATATCTTAATTTCGAAAAGCATATTACAATAAATCAAAATAGTTTTTCAGAATATTTGTACATTAAATAATTAATTCAGTAACTAAAAAATGCATAATCATGATCTACATCTAAACTTTCCACACTATAATTTGTCTTTCTTTAATAAGACCCCAATGTTTCATTATCTGATCAATGTCAATTGAGTCAGTGAAATCTCCATTGCAATTTAGCAACATTAAATTCTGTAAACGATCTTCCTACATAGTGGATCGTATATAGTTTTTTACTATTTTCAATTTGCTGAAAGCCCGCTCATTTGATGCTGTACTTACAGGAGCAGTAAAAATTAATCTGCATATTTTATTACTTGTAGGCAAAATTTGTTTTAATTTTTCCGACACCTTAAGCATATCAATTAATTTAAAAATATTTTTAGTCGTACATCGGTGGTGTAAAACATCCAACTCAGTTAAAACTCCATCAAAATCATTTTTTTTAAGTCATCGCATCCAGGAGGGAATATTTTCATAGCCTTTTCCAAAATATCTGTAGAACAACTATTATTCTCCCGTGGAACTTTTAAAATATGTATTAAAAGGTTCTACAATCAAAACATTATTCTTTAGATGTTCCGAAAGCTAAGTTATTAGAGTATTGAATACTTCTCTGAATTCTATTTTATAAAATGTTTATAAATTGAATGTACATTGTGTATCAGAATTTTCGTCAATTTTTTTAGGCTGCAATCTTCTTCGATGGTGTCTATTAAAATCTGCATCTGGGTCAATATTCAATTTTTTAGCAAATATAATTCCACTTTCTATTAAGTTATCAATTGATTTATTATCATCCCTCATTTCTACTCAACAGTCAATTGCATGCGTTATTAATATCAATGCATCAATTATATTTAATTCTGTGGCTTCCAGTTTTTCGGTTAAGATTTTTGTTTTGTACATTATATTTTTCTTAAATTATAGACTAGTTAAAAAGTCAAAATTCAAAATTTTTTTAGAAAGACCCAATGAAATACTACATGTTTTTTTGTCTATAGGTTTTAAATTTGTCATATCTTGCAGTGAATCAATTATTGATTCGTATGATATCCATACAGCTTTAATCGAATCAGCCCTTGCAGTCCATCGAGTTTTTAAAAGATTTCTAAGTTGTCAAGCGTCTTTAACTAATGATAATTTTTCCTAAAGATGTGCATGCCTTTTTGTACTCCCAGAGAAAAAAAACATAGTTGTTCCGGGCAAGAAAATAGATCACTGATAATAACACTTGCAGAACAGCTAAGTTCGAGAAAAGTATTTAGTCGATGTGCTTGGCATGGAATAAATGGAATTTTGTGGCCAACAATTTCAGATAGTTTTTGTTGTGTGCCATTAATCTTACCAGACATGCTACTAGCAAAATCATAAGATTGAAATGCAATATTTATAACCGGCAATCCATTATTTTGTAAAACATGAATTTTTGTTGCAATACTTAATCCAGTTTTATCAGTAGCTTCACAAACTTTTAATAATCTTTCAGATATTTTCCCGAAAGAGTCCACATACCGTACACAAATTGCCAATTGATCTTTGTGTGAAACATCCGGTGTAGTATCTGCCAGTACTGAATACATACCAGAATTCACTACTTCTTTAATAACTTTTTTTTTAATTTCACTAGCAAGTAAACTAATGAATTCATTTTGAGAATCATGACATAAATATGTTACGTGATGTGCCCTAAATATTTTTTCATCAAGCAATTTTTTCATGATTGGTGAATGTCTTGACAACTGAACGATCTGATAAAAATTACTATTTTCTTCATTCTCACCAAGCCAATCCTTGACGTGGCAAAGTCCGCGTGATATCAATTAACATTGCAATCACTTCTTGATGAAAATGTTTTTGATACTCTATATTTATGGCATTTAGACAATTTGATTTATTTAAAATACAATCTATATGATTAGAATTATTTATTTAAAAAGTTGGAAATTATTTATTTAAAAAGTTAGAATTATTTAATTAAAAAGTTGCTAAAATCAATCAAACATAAAAAAGTTGATTTATGTGATAAAGAAGAAAAATGTTCAGCTAGTTTTCCTTCTTTTTTTTTACCTCTACTTTTAACTTTATGCCATGTTTTAACACCACCTTCTACCCATGCTATATTAGAACAATGTCTGCCCGGACCTTTAGGAAATAAAGAGCATATAAAACAAAAAGCTGCATCCTTTACGATGCTATATTCTAGATGAGGAAAATTCTTTGTACCATAATAAACTAAATTTAGGCAATTGTAGGGACTCCACACCACATGGTTTTGTTTTCCATGTGGTGTGGAGTTTTTTGGATATGTTGCTAGTTTGGGTTGGTATGGCCCTAAACTCATAATGTTATTAAGTTATTAATTTCATCTCGCCTCAGCCTATTTCTTGCATTTCTGCGACGATTATCAACTTGCCTAATGACGTTGTCCTCATTTTGATTCAAATTATTTGCGGCTTGCCGAGCAGCATATCTAGCATTCTGTTGATTATTAATTTCATCTTGCCTCAGCCTATTTCTGGCATTTCTGCGACGATTATTTTCAACTTGCCTATTAACATTTTCATCATTTTCATCCATTTAAATTTTACTTTTAATTGTAATAGTAACAAAAAAACTTGAATTAATCCAGAAGATTGCGATCTTTTTTTTTTACTACTCTAAATTGCACATACAAATTATTTTTAAAAAATGTCAGGAAATTTTTATTTAAAATCAACTAAATTATACAACAAACTTGTGCATTTTTTATAAAAAAATTTTTATAAATATATCTGGTAAGAGATGTTTAAACAAAAAATTAACTTATAATAATAATCTAAATAAAAAAAAAAACGAATAGGATTAAAAAATAACGAATTATAAAATTTGAATAAATTTTAATAATAAAAGTGCTTCTTAAACAAAAAAAAGAAAAAAAAAAAAATTAAAAAATAAAGTATTTGTAAACCCTTTTTGTAAACTTCAAATTATTTCTATAAAAAAATTGTTTAAAAAATATTAACATAATTTAACCTTCACAAACAATGAAATGACTGTTCAAAAGTTGTAGTTTAATTTAATTTTCTAAATTCTAAAGAAAAGAACAAAAATCTAACAGCATCATTGAAATGTCATTAATATTATAAGCAACATGACAAAATTCAAATTCAATATATAAAAGATTATTTATCTGTTTTTCTTTTTTCTTATTACTTACTTTTTTTTTTCTTTATTATTAAGACTATCTATTTTACATAAAAAATATCTATATTAGATAAAAATTAGAAGATTAAATTTATTAAAGCTTAACATAAGTTAAAAGCAGTTATAAACACTAAACTATTAAATTCGAAACAATGAAAAGAAATAAAATCTGGTGAAAATCAACAAATTATAAACTTTAAAATATTAGAAATTTACATGTGGTTTTTTTTACAGTTAATTATCTACTATAGTACATTTTCTGATTTAACTGATATGATATATATTGGGGACAATTACAGTCATGTTACATGGTGAACCAAAAATTAAATGTCTAGTCAAAAATTAATAGTCTAATCAAATACTAAAAAAATAAAAACAAACAAAATTAAAATTATATATTTATTTCTTTGATAATAAAACACCAAGGAAAAAACAGCAACAAAAAAATGGTAAATATCTTCACTGATTGAAGATATTTAAAATTTTTTGTTGCTGTTTTTTCCTTGGTGCCTCCCAGCACCCCTGTATGGATGAGCTCTCCATTTAAATGAGGGCTCATCCATACCATTATTAAGGCACCATTAGTTAAAGGACCTCTCAGAAAGAGGTCCTGGGTGCTGGGAGCGATAAAGCCTGTAGCTGATCCAATTTAGATCCAAAGAAATAAAAAATAATATAATAAAAAAAATAGATATTTGCATTTAAAATAATAAAAAGATAAAAGCATAACTCTACCGGTTGCAGCAATGCCAGACAATGCTAAAGAAATAGAAGGAAAAAAAAAGTAGAGTAAAGTAAAAACTGAACATGTTGGTATTTGTGTTTTGAATAAAATTGCGATTTGAAAAAAAACGCATAAAAATATAAAACATAATCCTACCAACTGTAGTAGTACCAGATGACGATGCTAAAGAAATGGAAAAAATAAAATAAAAACCAAACATGTTTATATTTGTATATTGAATAAAATTGCAATTTGAAAAAAAATGCATAAAAATATAAAACATAATCCTACCAGTTGTAATAGTACCAGATGACGATGCTAAAAAAATGGAAAAAATAAAATTAAAACTGAACAAGTCGATATTTGTATTTCGATTGAAAAATAAAGCATAACCTTACCAATTGTAGTAGTACCAGATGTCAGCGCTAAAGAAATAAAAAATAAAATAAAAGTAGGGTAAAATAAGAGTAGGATAAATAAAAACTGAACTTGTTAATTTTTGTACTTTAATAAAAATATCAAGCATAACCCTACCAATTGTAGTAGTACTACCAGATGTCAATGCTAAAGAAAGGGAAAATAAGATAAAAGTTAGATAAAGTAAAAACTGAACATCTTAATATTTGCATTTTTATAAAAATATAAAGCATAACCCAACCAGTTGTAGTAGTATCAGGTGGTGAGGCTAAAGAAATGAAGGAGAAATAAAAAGTAGAATAAAATAAAAACCAAACAGGTTGATATTTGTATTTTTATCTAAATATAAAGCATACCCTTACCAATTGTAGTAGTACCAGATGTCACTGCTAAAAATTTAAGGCTCTATCACTACTCTCTCTCTCTGTGTGTGTGTGTGTGTGTGTGTGTGTGTATGTATATATATATAATATATATATATATATATATCTATATATATATATATATATATATATATATATATATATATATATATATATATATATATATATATAAATTATCAATTGGTAAAATTATAAAATAATTTATTCCTAGTCTAAGTTTCAATTTTCCTATAAAGTAAAAAGCAAGTTAAAAGTAAACAGTACAAATTATTAAATATTTAATGAAAAAAATTTAATGAAAAAAATTTAATGAAAAAAATTTAATTTAAAAAAATTTAAATATTTAATGAAAAAAATACTGACTGTATTTCTTTAGTGCTTTGTCTAAACAATAAATTTAAATACACTTTTATTAAAATCCTTTAAAGACATATATTATAAAAAATCAATAATTTTAAAAACAAAATTAATTGCTAATTGGCTAACTAACGATTATACCTTTATCAGGTCGCTTATGATAAACTAAACAAATTATATATACAATTAACATCTTGTTTTAGACAGAAGTTATCATTAACATATACATTTAGTTCTACTAAAATAGTTACAAAATTTAAAACTTACTTTCATCTTCCCCATCATTGTCAACTAAATGAAAATTCAATTCCAAAAATACTCTACTCTATACTACTAATATTTTAAATTCTACTTAAATATTTAAAAAATCAACACTTACCTTCAGTTTCATCTCCGTGGTTAACTAAATAGAATTTACAATAATAATAATATAAATCAAAATATAAATGAAAAAATAATAAATTATACTTAAATATTTAAAAAATCAACACTTACCTTCAGTTTCATCTCCGTGGTTAACTAAATAGAAATAAATATTATTTACAATAATAATATAAATCAAAATATAAATGAAAAAATAATAAATTATAGTAAACCAAAAAAAAAAAAAAATCAAAGTTGCACATTAAATAAACAGAAAAAAAAAATCTATAAACTTGATAATGTACTTAAAATGTAACTTAAATTATTATTATTATGATTATTAATAAGTTTTATTTATCTTTTAAATCGTTCAAATAGTTTTCACATAGTTTAAATTTTTCCTTACAATAAGACTCGTTTGATGTTAAACAAATAAAATGTTTTGAAAAAGATTAAAATAAAAACTTTACCGTTCATTTTTCTTTTTTGCTAATCTATAATTTTTGCTAATCTATAATAATTAAATTAATAAAATTAAATATAACCTATAAAGTAAAAATAAGATTTTTACTTTACAACTCTTCTTTTTATAACAACATAACAACGTTCTAAAATAAAAAATTGCAAAATTCAACTTAATTAAACATGTAAATTGAAACTATATAAAAATGATTTTCCTAAAAAGTTAAGAGAAGTTCGTCAGGTTTGGCTCGGTAGACCTTTTGGGTGGACCGCATGTACTTAAAAAACGCGCTCTAAGAAAAGCCTAGAATCTACTTGAAAAAACATTAAACGATGACGTAACGCGACATTGAACATTGAACATTGAATTTTTACAGTATTCATATTTAGAGATAATCGATATTGTAAAAATATAAAAATAAAAACTATTAGTAAATATTTAATTTAAAATGAAAACATCTGCTTTGACCGAACTTTCAACACTACCTCATAATTTCGGCCGCAATATAAATACTAAGAATGTATCACAAACATACCGTCGCAAACAAGAAAAATATAATTTTTAATTATTGTTTTATTGTAAAATTATGATATAAATTCAGGTAATTTTTATGATGCATAAATTAAAATTATTTTGTATATAAATAATAATTATTTGTACACAAAATAATTTTATTTATCTTAATTAACAAAAGTTTTTTTCTGTTATTTTTACTTCCTTTTTTAGATTGCGAATATTTGTTATACATATTTCTTAAAAATACTTTTTTTTTGGATTGTAAATATTTGTAACAAATAGTTGCAAAAGTAATATCTATAATTTTAAATAGTTATTCTATAACATCGCAGTGTAACTTTTACAATTAACAGATTGTATAATATATACTACAACCTATTATATAGGGTATAATAAACCCTCAGTTATTTATTACTTTATCATAAAAATTATATTATTAAAAGAAGTTGTTATTTTTATTACAATATGGCTACGTGATAAGCTATACTTTTTTATATAGCAACGAATTTTAACATGTGCCTCAATATCAGTTTTAAAAATGTCGAATTTATTGCTTTCTCATACGGGTCCTTAACCGGTCCCACTAAATTAGCTCTCATAAATCCTAAACCAGATAACAAGACAAAATTAATTTTAAATTAATGAGTGTAAACAGCCACTCTTAAACCTCTATAAAAACAAAACTCATCGCCATCAAATGTAGATAAATATATGATAAACATGCTCAACCTTGGTTATAAGGTTATTACTTATTAAAGTTAAACCTGTTCTTCATTACCTAAATGATGATTGCACCTTTTTGAATTTTTACTTTCATTTCAGTCCCATCCTGAATCAGTCATTCTCCGCCATTCACCACCTTAACCTTTCTATTTTTTTTTAAACTATTTTTGCTAATATGTTATAATATTATCAAAAATATGCTGACAAATGAGTTTTTTTATTATTTTATTATTATTTTTTTAATTAAATGAATGTAATAAACAAAGTATAACAACAGTTTGAAAAACCTACACCTGTAGCCGTTGTACAACCGTATAAACCAGACAAACCAAATGTTAAATGTGCGATGCTAATGGCAATCAAGTCCATAGTTTTGAGATTCGATAAAAATAGTGCGATACCAATATGTAGTTTTTTTAAATCTATTGGAAAGTTCTTACAATTAGTATTTCAAATATATAAGGTTCCTTTTATCGGTTTGGGTTTACTTATCTCTTTATTTATACACATAGCAGTGCCTATATACTTGGTGGTCTGTATTGCATATTTATATTTTTTTATTTTGTGTTTGGGCTATTGACGAGACTATCAAAGCATATAAAAAAGAAGAAAAATCAGAATGATAAGGAAGAGGATGAAAATGAATTTAAAAAATATTGAAATATGAATAAAGCATTATCTAGTCCAAAAGTTGAAATAATGGAAATAGAAGGTGATCGTTTAGTTAAAGTTGGTCGTATTTTAGATGCTGAAAGAATATACGAAACTGCTTTAAGTTTTTACAATAGTGATCGATCGGCAAGTTTTGAAGTTAGTTTAAGTATTGAAATTAAAGGAAATGAAAAAGACATGTAAAGGTGTTTTAAATAATTCAGAAAAAAGACAATATAAATTGATCGAAGAAATGATGGACAAACTAGATTGTATTACAGAAATATCAAACAAAGAGCTTTATAAAACTTTGTTTTGTTTCAACATGCATACGAAGAGAATAAATTTACATCGTTGCGGTCGATACTCCGGGTTACAACAGTTCTAGCTCCGTTTATAATATGGAAGTTCGATATACGAAACAAACGTCTAGTAATATTAAATGCGTGAAAAATTTTATCACTTATTATAAAGGTCACAAAAAATTTACTATATAACACGTCAATGTATACGGTTATAATACATTTTTTAATGATATAGAATGATACAATTTATTTTCCAATTTGATTGATTTGATATTCCAATTTGATATTTCCTCCTGAAACTGTGCCTTCTAAAGCGGCTCTTTCTACTACAGGTAAAAGTCGCGAAACAATTTAGTTAGCGAAAATATTAAACTGGGTGCCAACAAGCTGGCTAATTCCTTTTAATGGTAGCAAGTAGACTCTTCCTTTCTCTTGCCTTCTATGAAATCGTCTTCTACGCATTACGTTGTTTTGTAGATAATCGAGCACGTAACCTGGTATGTCGGAGCAAAGTAAATGTCTGGCGATGTTTTAACTCTTGTCAATATTTTTTCTCTCCTTCGATGCTTGCGATCTCTACCTCACTTTTTACAACGTCTTTGTGCCATATAATTTTTTTAGAAAAAAAAAACAAATTCAAATAATTAAAATTTTTTTTTTTTAATTGAATAGACGAATAGGCGTTCCAAATAATTCAAACGATTGTTGTCTAGGTCGTACGAAATTCCATTAATGATACGAATTTGCTCTTAAAATATATTAAAGAGACATAGCAAAATAATATTACCTTCGTCAAAATCAGAAAATTTTGGCAAATCGCCAAAGTATTCCAACTCTCCAACGTACGTTCTTTCCTCTTCTGTCAGTGCTCTATTTTCTACCACTTGAGGAATATAAGATAGTGGAAGCGGCATATAATCGTTTTGTGGAATGTACGGACGTGCAATCTAAAAAATTATATATTTTTTAAGCATTTAAAAAACCATTTAATAAAATAAAACAATAAAAAAATTACTTTTTAAGTTTTCAGAAAAAAATACTTACAGTTTTTTAAACTAGTTTCTTCTTACTTTATTTCATTTTTTATTATTATTATATATTTTTTGTTACTTTTACCATTTTTGACAGATACTGTTTACTTACAAAAAGTTACAGAATTACTGATTACTTACTTTTATACATTCTGTTACGTTACTTTTATACATTCTGTTACATTACTGATTACTTAATTTTATACATTCTGTTACGCTCTAATAAAAAAAAGATTACAACAGATTAGCGAAAATAGTTTTGAAACGATATAAAGGTTAAAGTTGTGAATGACGGATTAAGGATAAGACTATAATGGAAATAAAAATTCACGAAGGTGCAATCATCTAAAATCAATCAAACAAACCAAAACGCAATCGCCTAAAATCACCTAAATAGGCGCGAGTACTCAATAATGGCAAAAAAAAAATTAACATGAACAAAATAATGCTTAAACTGAATGGTATTAATGTTTATTTATTGATTCAAAATAATTTGTTCTAAATTGATTTAAAATCAAACGATCAATTTTTAAAAGAACGCTTACCCGCTGTACATTGATAGCATTATCGAATAATTAAATCTATATTAAAGCAGTGC